TGAAAAGTAAATAAGTAACTCAACAACTAATATATTTAATATCTAACTTAACGGCTATATTTTCATCACATATTTTTTATAATAAAAATTAACTAATTAAGTTTTTTCACACAAATGATTAAAAATAATATGTTATATAAAAAAGTATTTTCATTCAAATTCTATATCATTATATAAAAAAGGGTTTTTAAAAAATATACCTATCATGATGAAAAAAATGAATTTTTCGTTCCATTGAACTAAATGGAAAGAATAATTTTACGAACAGTTTTAAAAAGATTGAAGAGAAAGTAATATATTGGCACCACTTTAATATATACTTAGATATTGATATCAATTGAAATATATTTAATGAGTTTTGTGTACCGGTAATATGCTAGAAATAACATATAAATTTATCTATATTTAAGAGAACATATAATTAGAGTAAACATAAATATTTAAAGTATAAGATACAAATAAAAAGTATCATAGAAGTCAAAGGGTTGATAATATAAATTGTAGAAGTTGAAAATGAAAATTCTATAAAAAAAATTGATTTTTGCAATGGGCCAACTAAATTGACCCTACTTTTACAAAGAGATTTTGAAATGCCCTACTTTTGCAAATGGTTTATAAATCGATTTTTTTCTGTTTTATGATTCGTAGAGGATGTGTTCTCATGGTGGTACATCATTAGGATGAGAGAAATGTACAAATAGCACTAATCGAAACATGTTCTTATGAGGTTTTGTTTTGTTTATGACATTGAAATCGAATCCCTTAATGATCATTTTCTAAAAATGATTTGAACTAAAAGTAGAACAAATCTGTGATTATGAATGTGTATTATTAGGAGATTGGAGTTCATAATTTAAGCACTTATAGATGACTACATCTAGGATTGATTTTATACTTGATTCAAAGATTGTATTGATTTTATACTTGATTCAAAGATTGTATTTTTCGAACACATTAACTCTAACCATGCAACTATGTCAGATGGCCTAATTTTTTATCTTTATATTTTGTTGGTTTTAAAAGACACCTGGAACGTTTGAGCTAATTTTCCTATTCCTCATAATACCCTTCTGATTGAGTTATAACATGGTCTTACAGTAAAGAGGCGTATAGTTTCAACCTAGAAATTTGATTTTTGATATCAAAAGGTAATGATCCTCTTTATTACCCCTTTTGAGTAAATATCTTTAATATGACTAAAACACACCTATGTTATGTATATGCATGCTTCCCTGTTGCGTGGGCTTGACACCATATAACAAGATTAACATCCCGGACCCTTGTTATCGTTGTATGGACATGGGAATAAAATATGATAATTATTTATTCATAATTGCTTAACCTTATCCTTATGAAAATAAAATCAATTCAATCTCTTTTTATCATGGCTGCATCTAAGTAATGGTACCATAGATTATCAAGTTACTTTAATATCATTGAGAACCTTCTCTTCCATGTGATCTAATTTAGGTAAGGGTGAGGTGAAAAGAAAATATCATTGAGAAGTGAGAACCCTCACCAATTCATATTATCCAAATAAAATATCAAAGGGAAGCATGGCCTAATAATCTTAAAATGCAAATACTTGTGGCTATCTCTTACTACGTGCTGAAAAAAGTACTCAACAAAATTTTGCTAGTTTATATAAACTAGATGGGAATCATGCGCGCCCGTTGGCGCTGACTCATTTTTTTTTTTTGTTCTTTCAGGTTGTATATGTACTGCAACATACCATTATATTGATCAAGATACATTTAACATACATGAGATTTTTGGATAGGTCTTATATAGAAATTTAGGAAAGGAAGTAGTTGATGAAAATGATTATTGTCCCTGCAATTACATATTCAGCATGGTTAACTGTTTTAAATAATCAGTCCATAATTTAAAAAGAAACAAAGATCAGTTAAAAAAAATACAAAGTGGGTAGGTCACCAGATTAGAGAGTGCAGCCCCGGAAATAATTATATAAAGATTACAGTGTTGAAACTTAAAAACACTCACTCGCATTGCATTTTTGTTCTTGCTGCAAGACAACCCACCATCCTCGTATCTATAACAATAAAGTTAAAAATCATTTCTAATATATAATTATAAGAATGTACAATGCTATTTTTGGTATTTGATGATAAGAAAATGAAGATCACCCTTCTTATCGCCACACCTTACATCCAACAACAAACTCAAATAAATGAAAATATTTTATTTTTTTAGTTAAAAAAATTAGATAAAAAAGATGTGCTTCTTTTTCTTTTGATAAGTAAATCAAACCTTGTCTGCAAGTGGATCAAAAGCTGCATAAAGCTCAAAATCATGTGTAACCCAACACAATAAAACTGCAACAAAACACAAATACAAGTATTAAAAACTATAAAACCAATATCAAAAAAGACATAAAAAATGAATAATTAATTTTAAACTACATAAATTACCATAATTTTCATCTCTTCTGAACTGAGTTTTATGTGGGCCTACTCCTTTATCATGCATGGAAGCATAAAGTCTCTGGTAAGCCCTATACAACCTTCAAAGTTCAAATTCAAAATTATTATTATTAAACGAAAACATATAAATTATAAATCTAAAAAAAAAAAAAAAAAAAAAACTTTTTTGCTGATGTGGATGACTAATTGGAGAAGCAAACTCAGAAGATACATACTGATCCAAATAGATACTCCGGTAAATAAAATGCCAAAGTCGAGATGGACCACCGACACCTGTCACTGTTCCATTGGTTGGTGTTTTGTGATGAGTTAAAAGAAATAAAGATCCAGAAATAGCAGACGGGTCAACGGGTAAATCCTCAATTCTCATGCCATCTTCTGATAATGATCTTTCAACTTCATTCAAAACATTTGATTTTGCAAGAATAGCTTCAATTTGTATTCTATAAAAATTAGTTTTATAATGTAATTTACTAATTTAAAAAGGAAAAAAAGGAAAAGGAAAAGCCATGTCATCATGCCTGCATTCTTTAAGATGGAAAAAGGCTTGTGAACTTGTAGTCAGCAAGGTTAAGTACGTATCAACCTGTGAAATGTTATATATATAATTTATAAGCAAAAAAAAATTAATTTTTTTAAATGAAGAAAATTTAAAAACTTACATCAAGATAATGTACATAAGCATATAAAAATGCCATGGAGTTGTATCTTGGCAAACATATTGGTGAAAAAGATTCAGATGTCCTGCAAATATAATAATATATCAATATTCAATACCAAATAATTATATAAATAATAAAATTTTCCATGACAAAGTTGGAAAGAAGCAACATGTCATCAGGATGAAGTGATGCTTTCTGCAAGACTACCAGACTGATAACCTGAAATTTAGCTCTAATTTTTAAGCATTATATATTTATATACGACAAAATGAATAAAAAAAATGTAATAATTATTAAATTAAGAAGAGGGTTGGGTGAAAAACCTTGTTTTTACACATTAATATTGCAAAAAGGACACCTGTATCAGCAACATCTTGCAAAATGGCACAAGTAGTTTCCCTTGTGGTGTAAGCAAGTGGAAGACAATTGACCATCTTCCTTTTTTTTGTACTAATTGCATCTTTTAATACACCAAAACCTGCAACAAAGGAAAAAATGAAACACTTAAAGGAAATAGAAATATTTAACCAATTGTTGACCAGATACACAATAACAACTTTATTTATGGTTTTTAGTTTAACAGGTTAATAGAAATATTTAACCAAAGTGAAAATGAATATGAAATAAAATTCACAAAATCAGTCTCACCTTCAACCCTATTCAGCTGGCCGGGCAACCGTTGCCTGCTGCACAACATACAAACCCAAAATTATCTGCATTTCCAACTATACCCTCTACATACTTTTATGTTGAATGCAATACCCACCTTTCACTGCTCCATACAAACCATTAAACATTTTCAAAAAAAAAAAAAAAGCTACATAAGTTCTATAAAAACCACTTGGAAGAAGAAGAAGAAGAAGAAATTCTGATTTAACCATCAAAACGTTGTCATGTAAAAAAACCATGCTCTATTGAGGTGTTCTCTGGAATATCTGTTCACATAAAATGCCTTCACCCATGAAAAATAAAAAAATGTTGTTATTTTTACATTTTAATGCATTAAATTGATATGTAACAAACAAAAGTTTGCAATAATAAACGTATATGTTTCTAAACCAATTCAACGATGCTAGGTTGAGGTACCCGTGCTTTCTAATTTTTAACATCTTTACTCGAAAACTGAAACCTTTTTCATTTTTTGTCCCTATTTCAAGGTTTCATGTCCATTTTGTTCAATGTACTTTCTGTTTTAAAACCATGAAATAAGGACCAAATCTGAAAAATATTTCAATTTTGGAATAAAGATATTATTATCGCCAATAACCATGAAGAGTGAAACTCGAAATTATTATAAAGGAATCCTTACCTCAATCATCATTTCCTTTCGATGGAAGAGTTTTGTTTAAACAGATTAATCAACATGCCTTCACAGAAGAAAATACATGACCAAAATCAGTGAAGAACTAATTAACCGTTTGTCTGGTTGAGAGATATATGACTACCATTGAAAACAAAAAAAAAATGAAACTACTTTTTTTCAATTCGCCTACCAATGATGCAACCTGAAGAAAGAAGTTATAGTGAACATCATAATAGGTTATATGAAATGATATCAAACAAAGATTTGGAATGTGAAGAAATTGACCCAATTCCTACAATTTTAGAAAGTTTTTGACTTTTTTTTTTCAATTTGCCTCAGAATAGATGCAGTAGCGATGACTGCATAAACAACAGAAACCATTAGCAGCTGCATTTACTTGGGCATTTCGACAAACAGTTGCCATGCATTATCTATGTATTAGAAACAAATAAGAATAAATAAGTAACAGAATTGAAGGATACCTTCAAACAGAATCCGAAGAGGCCAATCAAAACCCATAATTGTAACTTTTTCATCAGCATCAGTTCATCACAAATTTTTGGGATTCCCATGGAAAATACCAAATATTGATGGTAAAGGAACTATTGAAACATTAAAAATTCAGAGGAATCTCATCCATTTTGCTCTCTTATCAAGATCTTATCAAGATCTCAATGCTATTAATTGCCCAAGTTCTGTCTGATTTTTTAAGCCCATTTTTGCAAAACTCTAGAAGCGCATCTTCCTGTCCGTCGTTTAACAGAGTTATCATCTCCATGAGGCTACATTGGAGCTCCAACTGTATTTCTTCCTGTAAAACCTTTGGCGGTTGCTGTGAGGATCTCAAATCATGACGTATCAACCCTTTTAGGTCATCCCAATCACATATAGGTCTCCTTTGATTCTCCTATTCAGACCACAAAAGAGCATCACCTTCAAGAGTTTTCATAACTACTTCCAGCTTATCTTGTTCTGTAACACCCGACTAAAATAAAGTTAACCTATCATACAAGTTATTATCATATACATCAAAATAAAGTATTAGATCATGCCGTGTTTACGCTTTATCAAAATACATCCTTAAAAGTTTGATTACCAAAAGACACTATGGCTTCTACATCGCACCCTTTCCCTTGTTCGACATACTTGTATCTGTAACAATAAAAGTATCCAAGATGGTAAGTTTGGAAGCTTAGTGAGTAATAATCAATCTCATTATAACAAACTCAACATATGATCATATACTAACAAGATATGAGATACTCCTTAACCATATTTTATTAATTCAATTATATCAAAATCATAAACAACTCGCCATTTTGATCATTATTCCTTAGCAAAGGAACAATCTTTCTCATATTCTCATTTTAATAATCTCATGGAATAGCTCATTCATATAATATGATCATTTTATCTCTCATAGATCCATTGTACCCATTAATCAAAATCTCAACAAATCGGCTCTATCCAAATGATCTCATACATAATTTGATCCATTCATCTTTCATAGATTCATCATCTGTGTTTCTCATACTCAATCTATTTCTCATTTATACATCATTTATATATTATACATAAACCACATAATTCGTATCTAAACATTCATAATTTCATAATAAGCAAATGTATCATGTCTTAATAATCTCATAAGTTAGTTAGAAGTCACTCACCTTGTCTAGGGATTATGTAGGTGATATCCCAAGCTTTGAAGTTTCTTGTTCAACCCTTTCTATGGATTTCCTATTTACAATTAACTCATACATATTATTTATCAAGTTATTTACATGGTTTAACTCATATATATCAATTCTCTTTTTTGAAATCATGTCACCATCTCAACATTTATCAAGAATCCAAACATATATCAATATAATACTCATAAAAGGTTCATATTACCTTCCATACACATTAGGCCTTCCGGTATGGTGGCCACGAACGAGGTCGTGGTCTAGATCTTGCACACCATCCCGGTGGCTCGTTGTGGGTCGTGATCGTGGACCTTCGTACTCCCGACAACGAACTGCAACGCCCAATCAATTCATTCCCTTCTTTAAATCTTGTTTGACCTCCTACAACAGCTACTTTCTTTTATTTTTTTCCCTCCAATATTCACCTATAAATATTACCACCCATCTTCTTAATTTTCACACATTTCTTCTCCCTTTAGTCATATTCATACATTTTTGTTGTTTGTTCTTTCAAAAACCATGCCTCCCAAAAACATGAAATGGTCAAAAGGAAGAAGAGAAATTAGCACAAGCATGGGTGACGGTTTCGGAAGAAGGCACTGGTCAAACGTCTGGTTTGGCGAAATGTTGAAAGTGTTTTCCATGGTTTAATGAGTTGTGCAATTCGAAATGTTGATGAAATATGCTCGAAGTGGCGCGATATGAGGGTCAAATGTTGTGAGTTCAATGGAATTTACAACTTTGTTATAAACAACGTACACGAAGCCGATATCGATCCGGATAATGTGGCCATGGAGCAATATGAAAACAAAAATCATAAACATTTTGGACATGTCAAAGCTTGGCAAAAGTTGAAGAATTCTCCAAAAATGGAATAACCTTGCTTAAAAACAAATCATAAGTTCGGTATTTTCAGGTTTTTAATTTTTAATATTATTTTTAATTTTTTTTATTTTAATTAATGTAATTTTTATTTTTAGTGTTTTGTTTATTTTTTTATTTTAGTTAATTTAGTTTTTATTTAATGTAATTTGGTATTTTAAATTAATGAAAAAATAGTATTTAAAAAAAATTATATGATTTTTATGTATTTTTTATTTAAATTTAATTAAAAAAAATGAGGTGGAGTTGTGTGTTTAGTGGTAGGTATCTCATATGTTTAGTGAAGGTTAGTGGTGATGATGTGACACCCACCACTATAATGCTTAATGGCGGGTATAACGAATGGTGTTACATATATCATATTTTATCACTTAAGGACATTCCTTCGGTCACACTTTTCGCATATGAACCCTAAATCCTATGAACTTGGTTTCTCATATCAATCTTCGAATTTCACATACAAGGTTCATAATCATTAGAATAGTATGTAATTAAGCTATATGACATCAGCCTCTAACTCAATTTCATGATATAAAATCATACCCTTCATATAGGGTTTCACCAATAACTTCAAAATCTTGCCCTAAATCCAAAATTAATGATTAAGAGTAGCAGTATTTACCTTGATCCACCAAAATTGAAGCTTGAATCTCTTTATCTCCTTAAAATCGAACCTCTAGAGCTTAAGTGTGTGAAAATCACACCTTAGAGTGTGTTATGGAAGTGTTTAATTGGATTGATCTGTTTACATATCATACTTTTTTTAAGTTCGTTCCGTCGCCACATCATGGCATTTTACCGGCCACGTCGTGGAGGATCTCTTATGACATTATTCTCATGCAACAATATTTGATCCGTCACTAATAATAAAGAGTAATTTACTTTCCACGTCGTCGCTAGACTCTATCCATATCGTGGTATCTTTAAAGTACATTGTTGCGATTATTTACTTACGTAACTTGAATCTTCTTTGTCGCCTGTAACGCCCGCAGATTCGGGTTAGTCAATTTAGAGATAATAAACGTTAAAAATGAATTTTTTTGATAGAAGAATATTTAGCATAAATAATCTTAACCAAAATTATAGTATATGTCACAAGGATTCCGTATATATAAAGAACGTTGAAATCCGACTTAAAACGAAGAAGTTATGACTCGTCGAAGTTTTGCTACAAAACCGGCACGACTCCGCGTAACGTAAAAAGTGAATTTTTGACGAAATATTTTTTAGCCTTAGCGACCTAAAAGAAATTCATAGTATACATTAAACCGAGAACGTACATAAAAGAACGTCCAAATCTGACTTCTTTTGAGGAAGTTATGATTTTTCTAAGATTTCGCCTAGCAATGCACAACCCGGAAATCAAATTTTAGATTGATCGATTTTTAGGCGACACAACCTAAATAAGAATTGAAGATTTTATTAATAGGAGCTCAACGATATAAAGACAGTAAAAAACGGACGTCGGATGACAAAGTTATGAATTTTTAATGGACTTTAACTGTCTAAGCCTGTTAAAATATAACTTTAAAAATAAAGTCAAAATTAGCCGATAGAGTCTAAACGGAAGTTGTATATTACGTCACTACCTACGCGTGGATATAAAAAACGTAAAAAACGGAGCTCGTATGCGAAAGTTACGAAATTTAGAAGATAATTAATTTTGGGGTTAAGTTCCGGAGGTGACACGTTGCACCATCTAAGCCACAACTTCCTCCCACTCCTTGGCATCAGATCGTGACACTTGGCACCCCAACACGACGTGTTGGGGCTCAGTAACACACCGTGTTTCTTGATTTCCAGCCTATAAATAGAGGTGCAAATCACCTCATTTCCACACACCTTCTCTTAACTTCTCTCCCAAACCTCCCCAAAGCCTCACGGCTTTTCTCTAGTCCTTAGGATTTAGTAGTGAGTCCCGAAGCACCAGAAGGCTCTAAGAAGAAGAATTTTCGGCTCAACTTCTGCCCGCGCAGAGCCCTGTTCCTCGCTAAACCCCCTTGTAAGTGAGTTATGTTTACCCTACTTTAAGTATAACTTATGTTTAAGTTCATTATCGTTATTATGAACCTATAAACAAGATTTATCAGTGATTTCAAGTCGTTATACTGATTGATCTACTTACATGGATGATGTCTAAGTTGTGATTTAGTGAGGTGTTTAAAATGGGATTTCCAAACACTATACTTCGTTTTCCAAACGGACACTACCTCCGATATGATCCTACATGGTTGTTCCTTACTTGATAGATCATGAAAGTAGACTTTGAGTTAATGATAAATCTAGACTAATAATTCGTCTCAATAAATATTAGACTAAAATCTAGTAATGATAATACTAGGTTTCGTCGAAGGAAAAGAAAATTGTTAGAAGCGAAGCGCTGCCCAAATTTCGAGTCATCACTTTAACAAGTAAGTTCATAGTTACTTTCATCTTACACATAGATAT